TAATCAAAAGATGCTGTCACAGTAAGTCCAAAGTGCACGCAGCTGAGTTATGTTTCTTCAAGGGAAGAGACACTCACCAGTGCAAGTACGTATGAAAAACCAGGGAGAGAGACAAAGAGGGCAAAAAGTGGAACTGTGCCATCTCCCACACAGGGTGACAGCAGGAGGGTGAAAGCAAGAGGCACTTTTCTGAAGGGGCTGTGGCGCCACTGTGCAAGTTGATCTTCTGACAAACTAGTGCTAATGTAGGAATCTGGGCCAGAAGCATTATGCAAGTGTCCTGGGTATCCAAAATGGATGACTGATGTTATTTGAGCTAGGAGTGATGACTGGAGAGCCTACTGTTACATCTTGCATCCAAAACCAGCATGTGCAGAAGGCTGTGGAATTATAAAATTGAGAATTAAGTGGTCAGAGATAGGCAAGGTCTCAACTACTGCCCACATCTCCAATTCTTATTTCAACCACTGACCTGCCATGGAAACCACAATTTGAATTCCAGAATAATGGGTGAAAATTCCAGGCTGCCTTGGACTTTCTGGGAATCAAGTAACCTCAGATGGACAAGCAAACCAACCCTGCTTTTGCTCAGATAGACGTGAGCTCAGTGGTGGCTCTAAATGGTGGGATTTCCCTTCCCTGCCACTGAGGGCTCCTGCCCAGCAATGGTGTTTTCCCTGTGCTGGTGAGTTGTGAGGCAGATTTGCTTCTTCCATGTGCATGGTCTCTGCACAGTGCAGGGGGAAATAATGCCTATGGGAGAGGTAAAGTTCAGGTGGTGATGGGGCCCACTGTCTCCCCTGTAACCACCTGTGCCCAGTTCTATCCTGGCCCGTCAGCTGAGACTTATGCTATGGGACACACCAAGCCCCACACTGCTCAGGTGTGAATTCTAGTTGCAGTTCTAACTCGATTTTGGCAGCCCCTTCTGAGCACTTCTTTTACTGTACACCTCGGCTGCCTCCCTGATCTTTAACCCCAGGGGTGGCTCTTGTGTTTTTCATATGTTGGATAAAAATATCTGTTGCCATCAGCAGCTGCATTTAGCAGCAGAAAATAACTCAGACTTTACGCAGGTGACCCACACAGGGATGCTTCTCAGTCTCCAACAGAAGAGCCACTTACATGAGCTTCATTTTCTCTCTCGCAAAACTTTTCCATAGCATGGACCTATCTACTAGTCACTACACTAAAAAGGCTCCCTGAGAACTCCATCATCCTGTTTCCTACAAAGCATGACTTTGCCTTAGGAATAGCATTAGTAAAAGATGCAGTTGTCATTCTCCTGGGCTGCATCAAATCTTATTTAAGGATGGATCTCCTCTCAATTTCTCTTAGAGGCACTTTACCCAAGAGAGAACCAATCCATTATTGGAAGAAGATGTTTTGACCCCATTAGCTGGGCAGATGTGTGTTTGAACTACAGACCCCTGAGCATCCTCAATCCAAGAAGAGCTAGCTCAGGCTATGGTGTCTAGAAGGGATGCATCCTCAGAGATCCCTTTGCATCCTGCTCTGCACCACGCAGGCAAGTGCCAAATGCACACTGCGGTAGGTGGCTGAGAGATCAGTATGACCGTCAGGTGACTGAAATGAGTGAACATAAGGGTATGTAGATAAATGAAAAATCATGAGAAGTGTTATTATGGACATACACTTTGTTTAAAAATCAGCACTGGAAAGAAATATGCATGATTTATAATTCTCATGTTGGCATGTACTAAAAATTAGTGTGTAATATTTTTTTTTTTTTTTTTAAAAGAGTGCTCTGTTCTCAGCTTGCTTCATGCATGCATGATTCTGGCCTTCTGAGAATACCAGAAGCTGCATAATACAAGCGTTTGTAACCTTTAGAAGCAGAAATGTCATAACTTAGTCTTAGTTAATTGTGGCCCTGACTCTAATGAAAGTGCTGTTGCCCAACAAGCTTTGCACTACATTGATTTTTTCCTTCTATCAGCTGGGAGTTCTGGTAAAAGAACAACAGATCTAATAATATCAGTAAAGCAAAGAAAGTAAGGAACAGTGAGCTCTTCAAAATAAGTAGGTCAAGCCACAATCAATTTCCAGATTTGAAATTATGTTTTTAAAATGTATGTTTAATACAAGACGTTGTTCTATGTCTATCAAGTCAAAGCCTGTATGGTTTAATATGGTTTAAAGTTCCTAAACGGCTGCTTTATCAGGTAGCCCAGAGTTAGGCCCCAGATGTTAAGCAATAAAAGAGAAACAAAAAGAACAGTTTCTGCAGCTAGCTGAAACCAGCAACAGCTCCTTAAACAGCTTTTACATACCTACAGTTTGAAATGCCATAAAGCCAGAAGATACATTGAAAAATTACAAATTTGCTAAGTAGGATTTCACTTCCTCTTGTTATTAGAGGTTATTACATTTATTAGACGTTAGTAAAATCCTTGTAAAGAGAAACTATGAAGGCTTATAAAAGAGCATTGTTTATTTTCACCCTAATAATTAAGATGCAGCTAGCAATAGCATAATAGCAGAAGCCTAGTGTATGAATTGCCGTTAGTTCCCAAATCTTAGTGATACTTATGCAACAAGTTTCACACATACTTGCTGAAATGCAATACAAGTGTGCAAAGAGGGTATCATTTAGAGTAGACCAAAACTTGCATGTATGCTGTCTTTAGTAGAAAAGATGATTCGGTTCCAAACTCTAAAACTGTACCCTTCACTCACTGAAAAAGCAAGTATTCTGAGTGACACAAACTGTCCCTACTTCTTTTTACCTATTTACAAACTCAGTGTGGTTTTCTGTTTTGAGATGATGGTTCTTCAATCTGAATGATCTTGGCACACAAAACAACACTTTAGAAAATGTTTAGTAAAAACTACTTCCAGTTATGCCTGTATGACTATGAAATAAAGACAATCTGACTGACAGATAAATTGCACACCTGCAACTTCAGCAATATAACTTGAGACCTTTTATTTCAGAAACAAAGTCTTATCACCAAAAGGAAAGGAGAATATATTTTAGCTGTAGCAGGGTGTATAACCTTTGCGAAACTCTTATTTGCAGGGTGATAACTGTATGTAACAGGGTGCTAGTCCTTCTGTTGAAAGGACAACAACCCCTGTCCTCAAAGAGGATTTAGATTCTCATGACAGATTTTCTATAGAAAAGATGAATTAGAGTAAAATTAAAAATTCAAAATGAAATGCACCCTGATTAGTCTCTGCCCCATTTAGGAAAATGCCTACTCTTGGGTGAAGTGACATCTCCTGGTGCTTATATCCCTACAAGAAAAGGCCCTCTGATGGTTACATCTGTTTTTGAAAGGTCATTACTGCCATGTGTTTTACCCATTTTTATGAAAAGTGAGTAAAACAGGAACAGGGAAATCTAGGGAATCTTTGGCTCTGAGCAAACCAGAAATAAAGGTACAGTTAAGGTACTCTAGATCCTAGGGATGCTCATCTTGATCTTTCTAGACACATGTAATATATGTTACAATGAATTGCAATAAAAGTTTGAGAGTAAGACTTCCAGAAAAGGGTCTCCATCCAGTTGCCTGTTTACTGACTTTTGGTTAAATCAGTTAAACTTTTTCTAAAGCCAAGGAAAGAATGTTCTGGGCTAAGAAATCATATTTCTTACCTCTTGGATTCCTTGCTGACTCTAAGCTGGAGTATCTGTGAATAATGTTCTCTGTCAACTCTTTTTGGCTTGGAGACTCCATTCCATCCTGGCAGAGAATGACCTGGCCTCTGTTATTCACGCTTTTGTCACCTCTTGGCTGGAATCTAGTAATGCAGAATAACTTGGGCACACAGCCTTTGGCATGAAGGGAACTCCAAGCAATAGAGAACACTGCAGTGCACCTCAGCCACATGGGTGTGCACACATCAAACTGCACTGCCCTGCGCTACGGTGGCACTCTCCAGAGTGTCAAAGGAAATTTGCAGTATCGGTCCTTGCCTTGCTCTGTGACCGAAGCTGGGGTAGCTTGGACTTTAGGCTACCCATAGCCCTCAGATGTAGACGACTGATGATAACTATTTCTTTGACACAGTAGAACCCTGCACAAAATCTGCTGTAAGTGGGAGATAGAACTGTGAAATGAAGTTCCCTAGAAACAACAGATATCACAAACTCACTACCTTTTACTCTAAGTACACTTAAAGACACATTTCCTTGATATTGCCTCGTTTAACATGACTACATATATTTTAAATTGTAAACTCTATTGCAACATAGAACAAACAGTTTATATACTCAAACAGGTTGATGCAGTGCTGGTAAGCACTGAGTTCCTACTACTCACATAATGTAAGAGTTTGTATCAAATATCATAAGTGTGAAGTTGCCAGAAGAATATATTCTAAACCAGTAGTAGAGCCATAAATTTTTGCTGAAGGAAACACTATTACAGGGGGTAGGAGTCAGTCATGTCCATTTACATCATGAGTCTTACCAAAGTAACAGAAATTAATCTGCCTTCCTTACTAGAAGATTTGCAATATAACCAGAATTTAATTCTATTAATATAAAAAACCGCAACAAATTCCCCTTTATTGCTTTCATCTATTTACCATTATTAAATTGTCAGCATAAGCAGATGAGGATAACTATGCCATCTAACTAGGACTTGCAATGCAGTTCAGGTAGAAAGAGATGTCCCACTGCAGAGCAGATTCAGAGCCTCTTTTAGTTTGCTGCTTTGAAGAAGCCTACTTCTCACTTTTGTATGCACCATATAGAAAGCTTACAGTAATTAATTTCCTCATGTAGGCACCTGAAGTAAGATGGTGTAAAAAATAGAATCCACGCACTGCAACAACGACGTATTGAAGACAAGACCTAACACCTTCTGAAGGACAAATGAGACAAACAGGTTCTTTGAATGGTTTATTTTATAAATGTCAGTAAATTAGCAAACACATTATACAAATTTCAATATCACCATATATCTTGCAATTTATATAAATAGTCCTTAATAAAAATTACATGTAGCTGTACCAAATAAATGAGGAGCAAAAATATTCTATTAAATTGGTTTGAAAATAAATGTACTTGAGAGAGTGTTATCTGATACATAGTTTTTAAGTTTTCTCACTTTGAAGTCACGTCAGCCTAACAAGGAACTTGTTAATAACATTACTGTTAATACTGACACAAAAGTGAAAGAAAGTGCATCAGTGGATAGAAGAGAAAGAACAACAATGAAAGAAATGTGGAATGCTTTGATAATGTTTGGGCAATAAATTATTAGGATGTTCATCAAGATAACTAGAATGGTGCTCTCAGCAAAGTACTACCAGACTACCAAATAGGTACCAGACAAAAGTGCTAACAGGTGCATAATCAGCATTCCAGTTTGTTTCAGCTATACCTCTTCACCTGGACAAACAGCACCCAAATACCCGCAGGGTATTTTCTTAAGTTTCCTAGTACAGCAGTTACACCACCTCTGTGGGGTGTGCAGTGGACATACTTAAAATAGAGCTAAAAGTGTGTGGATTATGTTACATTGTATTATATATTTCATATCTGCATATTCTCCATGGAATAATTTAATAGTTCCAATAAAATATATCTTTCCCATTGAGAGCTCAGGGATTTGGAATTTAACTAAAAGATTCACTGGAATGTTTAATCAAACATTAGGAGGCTTGAAAGATCTCTATTACATGAGATGTATTATTGTATGTAATGCAATTAAATGATATGTTAAATGTGACATGAGGAAGACAGATTCCAGCTCCATTTTCAGATATATCTTTGGAAAAAAAAAGTTCTATTTTTAATCTGTAAACTGAGTTGATTAACTGCAAGTAATTGAGACATACCAGCAATGGAAGGTTACGTATGCTTGGCTCCAGCATTAGTGGCCAGAACACAGCAGCACTTTTGACCTCTGCCTCAGTTTCTCTGTGTAAAGCATCCTCAGATCTTAATATAAAAAGCCACTTTGAAATATTACTACAATTACATGTTAAATTTTTCAGCGAAGCTTTTGAGCAAAGGACCTTGGAAAACTTCCTCCCATTCCATATACATTGCACCTCAACGGATACAATGAAATAGGAAAAAATGGAGGAAAAGCCTCTGAGAACACACAGGTGATTTCACTGCATACGTCTCTTCCTTTGTTACGTAGGCATTATCTTCCACACAAAACCAGGCTCCTCAGGACATGCTGGATAGCAAAAAGCCCTGGTCATACATGCTTAGTTTCAAAGTTATGCTACTACTCAGAGAGAGAAATCAATGTATACTATATTAAAAACAATCATCACAACCCTTTAAATGATTGGATAGTTTAGCTTTGAATGCAGTTCAACCTAATAAAGGCTTTAATGGCTTTTGACAGATTGTACCACTGATCAAGGGACATGTATGAAAATAACTACCTACCAAGCCCTGATTTGATTTTAAGAAAAGAAAACTGAAGGTTAATGGTAAACAGAAGTTGATTGTTCACATTTTCACTGAAATAACTCTATCTGACCTGTTCTTAGAAGCAGTGAAATAAAGGATAATGGGAATCCTATACACCTGACTTTTTACTTTAGCCTCTAATCAAGGGAGCTAATCAAACCAAGATGTGTTGGCATGAAAGCAAATATTTGACGATACAGAGGGGGAGGAGAACAACTTTTGTGACCAAATTCTGATTCATCACGGACAAGCACCGTAAAACCAGTGGGGTAATAAAGGATGTAAACCTCAGTGTAGTATGTCCTTTTCTATCATGTGAATTCAAATGCTATCTCCAAAGTAACAAGAAGATAAACCACAGTTTTCATTTTGTGTGTGAAGTGCTCACACCCAAACATCAGCATTTTAATGTGCTAATTTTATCAGTTATTTGTTGACTTTTATTTGACATGTTATTCAGCCAGTTCTCCAGCCTTACTAAGTAGTCTTCTTGCAATTGTATAAATTATCTTCTCTTGTTCAATGAATGCCCCCAGGCTAAGGTGAAGAGGACAGATGAATGGAAATTAAGATGCAAGCCCAGCAACACTGAAGGTGATGAGTCTCAGTTTGGAATGGAAAAAGAAGAGAACAGTGGTTCTATTCAGGATTGCCTCTGCCCTTTCAGGTGGGGTGAGGTGACAGCCAGAAGCGGGCAGGTGGGGAGTCCTCAGTCCTCAGAAACACTGAATGGTGCTGGTTTTGCCTGAGTCTTCCATCACTGCCTAACAGCTCCCACTCTCTAATGCTAGGTTAGTGTAGTGCTGGGCTTTTCACCCTGCTGTGGGGAGTGTAGTGGTTGTCTTCTTTTTGGACAAGGAATGTCATTGCGAACAGTGTTCTGTTTGTTCCTCTGGCCCCTCCCCATAGCAGTTCACCATCCCAGTGGGATTGTTCAGAAGATAAGCTGCAGCAACTTGCATCTCAAATGGGAAACTGATGTGGAGTGGAGGTACTCAGTCCATGGAGGTGTAGTAGGACAGAGATGGAGGTTGAAGCTGGAGATCAGGGTTTCTCATGCCTGTTGCTACAGTGGAACAACCACACCTCCCAACTCTGTAACCTTGGTGCAAGACAACAGTGGTCAGCTCCAAGCAAAAAGCTGAGGTCCAGCTGTTGGAGGCATGAGGGGGGGTTAAGGAGCCAACAGTAACTACACACCAGGTGGCAACAATTAAGGGAGAAATCCTAACCTGCACTGTACAAGTTACTGCTCAATGACTCCCATATGAGTTCAGCGACTAAAGTTGTGGCCTTGAGAAAGCACATCCCTTGCATCTTATATGCATTTCATCTCATCTCATCTCTATTCCCCTCCTCTCATCCCAGCTTAGACATCAGCTCCTGGGCTAGTTTCATTTCTGTTGCATTAGCCCAAATTCCACTGCATGACACAGGACTAATGGAGTGGCACTACAATAACTGAGAAAGGAGCAATGCCCACTCTTAACACAATACAATATTTTAGCTATCTTTCATGATGGATTTTAGTATTCTTTTGATTTCTTTTTTTCTTGTTATGGCACTGGAATTCCTGAATCTGTCCCACAGCATTAAGAAGTCCAGCGTGATTTTAAAGCGCATCTTGCATCATTACCAGTGAAACTAAAACTGTATCTGGATGATAAGAAAACTGATTTGGATATTTATTATGTTGCATGTTACCCATCCTGGACAGTTTCCAGTTGGTGATTACCCATGGCATTCTTATGTACATTTTAGACCATCACAATGACGTATGTTGGAGCATAAGCATGAAGCCTTTAAAATTTACTGCATTGAGACTGATATTTTTTATTTCCATAACCCTTTAAAAAGAAGAAAGGACCTACAGGATAAAATATTTTCATACATGGAGATATGAATAAAGCATTATAAAAACATTTCTAATTACATTGCATAACACAGCAGTTTCCTATCAAATACTTAGAAAAGGCCTTTACCTTTCATCCCCCAAATTACAGAAACAATAAGTTTTTCATTTTCTGCCAATGTTTTTCTTCTATCAGTGTAAAACCAACCCTGTATCAGATTTTTCAAAGAAAGCCCTTGCCTCGAGCATTTAATTTGTATTGGCTCCATGTTTAGTCAGTAGCTTTTGTAAAATTGATGAATATTGTCTAAAGGCAAGTGCAGACAGGCAAACAGATCTGTATCTTCTGTAATCCATTTAGCCTGATGCACATGTGCAAGGGAACTATTTTACCTTAATTCTTTCGTGGCTGATGAAAAGTAAATGTAAGCAAAGTCGTGAACTTCACCATTTAAAAAGAATCATTGAATCTAATGTTAGAAGCTAATTTATGCTCTCACCTCTTTCCTGAAAAAAACCCTGACCTTGGTCCTCATGCCTCTGGAGCATCCAGACTTGGCAATCAGTTGCTATACACAGAACATCCATTAGGGGCTGTGTCTTTCAGCTCATCCAAAAGGGAAACAGTTTGTCTGATGCTGGAATAGAAGTGGATTGCTAAAGTATCATTGCAACATAACTAAATCATAACTATTTGAATAAAAGAAACATTTAAGTATTTGTCTACTTCTAGTATGTAATCCAAACACAACAATAATTTACACTCGATATCTCAGTTTTTTTATAGATATTTACCTTTAAACACGTTCTCCTTTTGGGGTGCCATTTGGTATTACTACCTGCTTCAAACAGTTCCAACCACCTTACTCATGTCTTTGCTAACAAATCCTGGGGGCTTTGGAGATATGAAATCTTCTTATACTTCTGTATTTCAACTGAACTCAACCAAGTTACACCGATTTAGATGATGTGAGACTGGACTGCAACACAGAGCATTAATCCTCTTTAACCACTTGATTATTTGCATTTTGCCAGTGAATCCTAGGTCTTACCCATTCCAAAGGGGTTCATTTGTCTATGTCATTGCCATCCACAGATTAAATGAGTGTTCTCTGACTGCACTGAAGCTAGTACTACTTCAGCTAATTCACTAGTCTAAATCTTCAGCATAGACAAGCCCTAGAATCATGTGTTTTTAAAAAGTCTATTATTGCTGCCAGCACTCTCCTAATACAAGAGAGAACCCAGTGGGGTTTTTTTACTACTGCTGGAAATAATTATTTGCCAATCATTTTTTTAATAGCTATGTCTCCACTTCAGCTATGAACTACAACACTGATGGGCCTTCTCTACTCTTTATGGCTGTCAGACTCATTTCAATACTGTGATCTCCATGGTTTCTAGCAGTGCTTAATTAAACACAAAATAATCATAAAGTAACAGCATAAACAAACCACCCACTCAAATGCTGTTAACAGTGTTACATCATTAGCTTGTTTGAATTAATCTTGCTCATTTCCAAAGTAATATCTGTTTCTGTGAGAACTGCCTTTTCAAAAGCAGAATTCCCAATCTTCAGGTAGCTTTTCTTTAAATGATCTCTAAAGCAAACAGTATTTAGAGTGGTATTAATCCAAATATATCCTATTTGCCCACTGGTAAAGCCAGCTTTAGCTAGTGCAGGAAAGAAAAAGCTATGCTCATAACAGAGTATTTCCAAATGTTAAGAAATCTGTGGCACGAGAGACAATGGGTAAATGTATGGATCAAGGTTATAATATAATCAAACTTACTTTAAATAATAATTTATTCTTCAGAGAGTCTTTACAGTATACAGGGTGGCTAACAGTTTTTGCAGAACTCCAGGACCACAATGAAAATGCTTGATGCAGGTCTTTATACTTTTGCTGGCATTAGGTGTTAAGAGGTACAAAGGTGTTAAGAGGTACAATCTCTACTTGGTATAACTGTCCTGGCAAACGTTGGTAGGTGTGGACACAGTTCTATACCACTAAAACTGAATTTTTGCTGGCACAGTTTCTTTAGCTCCAGGGAGGTCTGGCATATGTAATACTGTAAAAAGTACAATTTTTGGCAGTACAAGCCTCATCCGCACGCAGAGTGCTTTGCCAGTACAGTTGCTCTGGGTAAGCCTGGCCTCGACAGTGACTTTAAACAGAAGATTAACACAGGAGGTATATTCATTTCTTGGTGGCAACGTCAAGCTCGGAGTCTTACTGATTTCTTCTATAGTGGCAATACAGACTTAAGTGCTGTTGCACCATAATACGATTTTCTTCTGCTTTTTATGGCAAAGGAAAAAGGTGTATACCAGCTCAAGTTAAAATAGCAACTTAACCAAATGAAAAATCTCTCTCTTATTCAAGAGACCCCTGTGTTGTCCAACATAGAGTTGTTCTTTTTATAGCATGTTACTACAAAACAGATCACAAACAGCTTCATTTCTCATAGTTTTCAGGTTTTGTTCTCATAGACCTCACTAGATCAACACAGATGCTGCAATGCCAAGTATCACACAAGCTAAATCTAATCTGCCAGCAACCTGACCCCTAAACGGAAACCCTTAGGTTCATCAGCTCTTTAGACTGCACTGGGAAACCTGGCATCAGAATAGGATTCACATGTATCTCTCTCAGTTCTACTCAACTGCTATGATGAGAAACAGCAAGAAGTCTTGGGATCTATGTCAGGATGCTCCTTCAGAGTGCCTCATCTAACAAATGCTCTAACGAGGAGCCATTGCATGAAGGACTTTCTCCACTATCTCCTGCACCTCTGTCTATGTTAGTGGATGAAGTCACAGCTACATTCTAAACATATCCATCAGACTCACCCCAAGCTGGCCTCTCCTTAGGATGCCCTGATCATGGATTCTGCTTTGTCACAGGTGTGAGCTAGGCCTGATGTTGCTCAGACCTGCCAAGGCAGAGGTAGTTCTAGGCACTCATGGAAGCTGAAATTTAGATGTCAAGGGAGCTTGGGAAAACACAGTTATTCATGGGCTGTAGGGTTAGTGGGAATTAGAGTGGAGGAGGAAAGAACTGAGGCTGGTATTCTGGCCTTCAGGTCTTAAAAGCCACCTGTTTCTGTAGACTTGGGGCCTCGTCTTTTTTAATTTGAGACAGTAACCACGGTACCGTGTGAAGACCAGTAAAATCTGCATTGACACATAAAATAACACATGATCAAGGGATCATAAAGCTGAAAAGATTTATGTTAAACTAACAGGCTTCTCTCCAAATGATGGGCATCAATAATTCTAGGCTAGAAGGTCACTTGTTATTCTACCCACTGAACAAGATTTTGTAGATTAGCAATTACTTCTTCAAGATCATATGGCAGAGGCATACTACATTCATCATCTGTCCAGAAGGGATGGCATTCTGGTTTCTGGTCTTCTGGCAAGCTCTCCGCTGCTTCTGACTGGCATCTGAAAAGAAAGGTAAGTAGATGAATTACTTAACTAAAACTGTATCAAGAAACTGAATACTCAGTGAGGACACGTTTGTGCATTAATTTAAAGGAAAGATTATAATAAAAAAGAAATACCACGTCTTCTGACCAAATGGATTGCTCATTTCCAGTGAAGTTGACTTCTGTTGTAGGCTTTGTATTTTCTATAGGGATTTCTCAAAAAGCCAATCACAGAGAAAACTCAGTTAGTGTACCTTTTATATGGTGAATTATTTTTTCATTATCTCAGCTGTTATTTAAAGTATGTGATTAAACCATTATCAGATTTAAATGTTTGCCAGTTTCCAATGTATTACTAGATTATTGAGAAAGATTAAATTGAATTTACTGCATTAAGGTCAGGGGGGATAGATTAAACAGTATTAAAGAAGCTGGACTACCTTTGTAGAATCTGAAGATTTACAAGTGTATCAACCTGCTTAGCTCTAAAAAAGGCAATATAAAAAGAGAAAATTCTATAAAGATAAATGGAAATGAAGGTTAATAACAACTTCCAATGATGAATAGGTGGGCAAAACTTCAATAAAATTAAATTAAGAGGTTAGTGTATGTTAGTCCCCAGAGAAAACGTTTAAATTACAGTGTTTTTTATTAAATGGATTATTCATCAATACTAGTGAAGTCTAATTATAATATTCAACTGAACTGCAGCCCTCAGAGGAAAGTTTTATAAGTGGCAACCATCGCATCTCTTAAGATTAGGCTGTAATACAACATGCTGCATCAAAAAAATTGTCACAGTTTAAGGAGGATTTCTCCCCCGCTCTTTTCTCCTCCCCTCAAACAATTTGCATGTTGCTGATTAATTAGCTAATGTTTCCAATGGGGAAAGACAATGAAAATGCTAAGCATGACTATAATTTTGGTATACGCTGCAGGTCTACGTAGTTCTTCAAAGAGATAACAAGCAAATTGTAGAAATACACTTTTATCTCTTGTAAGACATTTTAAAAAATTCATGTTTGATAAAGCACATAATTGTTGTAACAATTTTAAAGATCTTTTAAACATATATGTGTCTTTTATCTCTGTAAAATGAACTCTGAAAATACTGACACATGCAACTTCCTTGTCTACACCGTCAGCCTTCTGGAAGAGACTGTTTCCAAATGAAAGATGTCTTCTTCTCTTGGGAATTATTAATGGCAGTGTAATCCCCATAAGAAAACATACTTCAGCTTTACACCCATGTTGGTGTGTGGTTAATTGCCGCACCAGCATCCTGGGCACTCAATCCATCGTACATTACACTACAAGGACAGTATTAACACATAACATTCCAATATATCTTCAGCTCTCCACATCAGCCCCTGATAATAGCATCTGTTAACATGCACTAAGTACTATTATGTAGCACATCACTTCATAAATAATAAGATTAGCCGACCTCAGGGCCCTGGGAAGAGTAATGTGTTTAAATGTTCTCATTATTTATTTAAAACAAGAATTAAAGGAACAGAAGCTACTTGTGACAATCCTCTTAGCATAAATATTAAACTGTTTGCATTGATAAGCTGCACTGTACAGAATAACAGAGGATTTGTTTTGCCGCCTGCTTTATAATAGTTGTTAGAGCAAATGCAGTTTAGTGTATGAGTTCTGAGAGGTACTTAACTGATTGTGCCATCGTGTTCTGAAGACATTTCCCAAATTATATAAAGGAACAGGAGAAAATTAATATGCAGGAGAAGCTGAAACTAATTACAGCATAACTCTATGAGGCTTTTAAAATCTTGCTTTATTTTCTGTCTTGGCACAAAATAATACGCTCAATTTGCTGGGTAGTATAAGATATTCCAGTTTAAGCATTTCAATCTAGAAGTGGATAAATTAACCATGTAGAGATTATTGCAGATGACAAATCAAGAAGCTCAGCCAGTAAATACTGCAGACATGTTCTGTGGTCTGCAAGTCTCAATTTATGATAATAAACATTCTCTCTCTCACACATCTGCTACTAACAACATGTTTTTCACTGAGAGAAAAAAACATAGCAACTTTTAGCTTCTTCACCATTTCAGAGCCCTTTTTTTCATGTCTTTTTTCCCTTGCTCTTTCACACAAATGGATTGACTGACTTTTCCCTCACATTTGGGGTCTCGGCATTTGTGTTGCTGTAAATGTGCAGCAGCCACAGTGACTGGGAAGCCCATGAGCAACTATTCCAGTTGCTACTTTCCCTTCTCTCTTTTTCTTACCAGCAGAGCCATCTCTGAAAGGTCACTCCATAGCTAAGCATGTGCCTTAAGTTCCAGGCAGTCATGCACCCGGGAAGTTTTAGCCATATCATATTCCATGCGAGAGATTCGGGGAATGACAGTGTGTCAGGTCCTTGGACTTCCTGTGCAAGTCTGATGACAGAAATGCATCAGGGTACTGCAAAGTATAAAAAAGAGGAAAGTAATGCTGTAACCATCCAAGTTCTGCAATCTCACAGCTCCTTTACCTTTCTGGCCAGGATTTCTATTGCTTTACTGTCCCAGTTCAGCTAGGATAGGGTTAAGTTTCCCCCACAGAGAGGGGGAAGGGATCTCCAGCAGGGTTATTCAGTCAGGTCTGGCACAGCAGCGCAGGAACTTTTTCCTCTGTGGCTTTGGTGACGGGGAGCACGGGGCTGTCTGTAACCATTGAGGTATTTCTCTGTGTATCTTTTGTCTTGTTTACTGTTATTACTGTTTGTTGTTGTTATCGCTATTGTTGTTGTTCAGATTGTTTATTACACTGTTGTATTAAATTTCTTCTTATTTTAGGCCGGGGTTTGTGCCCTACTTGTGTCCGAGGGTGGTGATCTCTGGTCCCGGCAGGGCCTAAACCAACACATTTACTTTTTATCACGAGCAAGAACAGCAGTGAACATTACTTTTTTACAGTTTGCGAGTCACCTATTTTGACCGAAGGTACAATCCCTGCGCTGGATCCGCTGACATCAAAGTCAAGCCAAGTCGCTCATATGTAAAGCTATGGGCCCGGGCTTTAAGCAGTCATTGCTGTGCCCCGCAGTCCAAAGCAATTCACCCGACTGGCATCCACAAGCTTGAATGCAGTCATCCAAATAGGTACCTCTTGACCCAGAGTTAGGGTGCAAGAACAATCCTTTCCAGATGAGTATATTACTATTGATTTTACTGAATTTCTGTGGGAAAAATTGTTCCTACAGTCGTCTTTAATTTGTAGCAGAGTAACAGACCTGAAGATCATGCAAAAGGATAGCAACATTTTTAACTGAAGTAAAACAAGCAAAGACACTTAAAGAATTGCACAGAATTATTTAAAATTCTTTGTATCTGGGAAAAGATAGCTAACATAAGTTAGCAATGATAACTCAGGATAAACAGAAATTCTGTATTTTCCCAGATACAAAAGAATATATGAGGGTCTGTCTGGGGAACTCTGCAAACACCAAAGTACGGTGGCAATGTGAAACTACCAAGATTTATAGTATTATAAGTTAATTAAAATATTATATATCAGTTAAACCCTATTATTTGAGTTAATAAAGTCAAATCTCCAAAAGAGAGTAGATCTAATCTGTGTATATTTTATGCACGAGATGTGTTAAGAGTGGAAATAACACATGCTCAGAGATACGGAAGAGATGACAAATCAAGAAGCACCTTTCATACTTTATGTGCGGCAGGAGAACAGAAAATCTGCCATGATATATTTCAGAGCAATTTAGCTCCAAGACCTTGATAATACATGTTCACCAACATATAAAAAGGATGATTTGTCTAAAGATGTACAGAATGCACAAAACTCAACAGTCCCTACTTTCTTGTTAAAACAATCTTGTGCCATTTTCAATTCAAAAAGCCCATTTTTAAGGAACACTTAGTCACTCTTGCAGTGCACATTCTCACTACCCCTCCCCTGTAAACTTTACAGGTTTTTGATCCCCTTTTTGTCTATTTTTTTCCCAAGTGGACTTTGCTCATTAATATTTACCAGGAGCTGAATATTTAATATAAGTTCAACTAAGTCATGACAAACATTTGTATGACTGTATGAGTATTTGTATGACAACACAGGACACTTTCCCTTGGATGGTGGCTAATTTCACCATAGGCAGGCGTACATTCACTGAGACAGACAGTTGCCTGGCTGTGGCCCCCCGGGCTGCACTGACATTTTGATGATCAGGGTGTCAGCTACATTAGAGGACACTGATCATGATGCTAAAATTAACCAAGCTAGCTAAAGTGTGTGTTAATTATGAGTATGCAAGCAGTCAATAAAAGGTTAATGCAAAAGTCAAAGGATAAATTTATTTCAGTATTGCATCACTCTACTGACTAAATGACTAACATTATGCTTTGTTTTTAATCAATATATTTTACAGTAATGCGTGAGCCATTGATTTGAAAACAGTTTTCATCCTGACAGTCAAGTTTTGCAACTATTTAGTATTAAGTATCAACATACTTAAAACATTATTTTTTCAGAGCAGATAATTTTTCGTTCTGTTGTCAGGAACAGGAATGCATACAAGCCAGGATGCAACCTTGGGTTCTGCCGATGAATGTGATTAATGTAAATAAGAATTATTAACTAGGAACTTAAAGAAAGTACTGTGAATCAGGGTCCCTGGATTCCTGTTTGTCTACTCCACAGAAGTGTAGCCAAATCACATCAATAGGGGTCAATTTGTGGTTCAGACTGCACGGGTGTGTTAAGAGTGACAAGATGATATGAATAGTCCTGTCTCCTAGATGGTTCCTATGCCTGGCAGTTCGAAGACCAATGGGGATCACATGGAAATTCATAATTCACGGCCATTTTCCCCATGCACTGATATGGTCAGAAAGGGAGCACAGGATATTTGCTTTGCATGTACAATAAACAGTACACACTGACCCACACATGCTTACTCCAGCATTCACAAAATTGTTGGTTTATATGGGAGTTATTTCCTCCATCTATTCATGCTAGAATAAAGGTGTTTGAACTATTATTCAG